GAGATGGTTGTGAAGACAAATACTGTAGTACAGGCAGTCCCAGATTACGGACAAGTTCTGATCCTAAGTCTGTCTTTAAGTCGAATTTGTACGTAAGTTGGAACAGTTAGGTACAGTTCGTATCTAACATCAGTTAATCAAATGTTTGTCTTAGTATATAGTATATGGTGTACCTTTCTATACATAAAAAAACTAACACCTTTAACATAATAAAACAGTAATAATAATATTTTGATGCACATTAAAAAGTAGTGCTCATTTGTTATTACGAACCATTGTATGTACTTTAAATTTTTTATATGATAGGCTTTCCAGGGCCTAGTTTGTAACTACCAGCTGTACTTAAGTCCAAAGTTCATAACCCGAGGACTGCCTGTAGTGATAGCCAATAACTGAGCATTTCCAAGTCCGTTATATTCATTGTGTTTAGTGCCAGGTTTTAGCTTCCTCCTACATTAGCTCTAATGTCACATATCCTGAAAAGGACAAGTCTGCAGTAAACTATATCTTCTAAGGGAAATGAAATGTGATAAGAATGAGTTTTTATCATGGTGGGGTTGGTGTGTCGGCCTTTGGAGAATGAAGATTCTGGGAATGGAAGGTGATTTATTTGAATTTCTATGAGGTTGTGAGAAATGTGGAAAGAATCTGAGTTTTGTAAGCCTCTACTTAGAATTATTATTTATACTAGTGTAAAGTATTCTCTCTTTGAAAGATGTTTCATTTGAAATACTCAGTTGTGTGTGTGTGTAGATATAAAATAGCTCATAAATTCTGGTTTGGGCTGTTAAAGGATCTTTTTTTTTGGAAATGGACTGGTGTTTACTTTGCATTTTTCATTCAGTTGGCTGGTTTTCTTTCCATTTTATGGGGAACACGTTTTGAATCTTAGCTGTGACCACATGTGTTGCCCTGCGCTGCCGTTACCATGTTATTCCACTTGAAGGTTTACAGTTGAAAGAGGAGCGTGTAAGTTCTGAAATGTAAAGGAAATTGTAGCAACTTGACAATAGAAGTATCTAGGAAGCTCAAAAGTCAGGTTTAATTAGGTAGCTCTGCACATCCATTATCCTTTTAACAAAAGATGGTGAAGAGGAGCGAGAGTGAAAACAATTGGTGCTTGTCTGAAAGGCTGCAAAGAGCAGCCCTCGGAGCCCAGCCAGAGCTCTGCCGGGCCCTGCGTTCTGCGGGCAGCTTGCATTTTTGCAACACCCCTAAATGTTCCAGCTTATAAATAGCATCGAGTCCTCTAACATGATGCTGCGTACTGCAAGAGAAATTAAAGCGGCTGCCTCTGAGGCAGGAAGCCGACTATCGAGATGCTTAATTATTGTGGAAGTAAGTGCTTGTTACCGTTGAGTGGAGAGAGCAGAGAGAGTGGGGTGTCCTCAGGGTGTCAGAGCAGTGATTTGTAGACAATGCTGCCCTGTCAGCGCTGTGCTGGTTCAGCAGCATCTTTCCAAACATGGATTTGGCAAGCATTTAAAGGCCACAGCTCGTGTAATTGGTGGAGTCTTAGAAAAAGGATCCTCTGCTTTTATTTCCAGCATGTACGCAATGATGCAGGATTTTATACTGGGGATTTGTGCTTTTTTGCTACTGACTGACGTGCTTATGAGGAAGTTCGTTTTCTTGGCTCGTCACCTAGAAGGATGTTAACAGTTCTCGGTAATCTGTTGGGAAGGAGGGAGATGTCTATGGAGAACAGTATTTTGTTCCCACTGTCTTTATAAATTAGCACTGATGGGGTGGGGTAGATTTCCATGCAAGAGGAAATGCAGGCATTTTGTTAATTAGTGAAATATTTTGAGCTTTAAGAGTAGATGAAACTAAGGAGAGCTTGAAAAAGGTGGTGGTGAATGCCGGATTCTTTCTGAAATATTCCCTGCCTGGGTAAGTAATAAGGTAGAAGAAAATACAGAAGAGTGTTAATGGATATGATGACTCCGGGAAAACCCTGTTTATTTGCTCTTGCCAACTATGTTGAGCCTTTGTAAAGAAATATAAGACAAGTATTGATTTTGAAACATGGGAAAAGTTAAAAAGTGAGTGTTGTAACATAGTAAGATTAGTTTTTAATTTGAAGTTTTGTCCATAAAACTGACTATGTTTTGCTCTAATTATTTCATTCTGTTGGTTTTGTCTTGAACTTCTGGTCAGCACAGTGATTCATGATGTTCTACATTATTAGAGGTCATTGGAGCAGGTCTTTACATGGGGTAGGAGACATGATGTCCTAGAACAAGATGCCTCCCTCCCTCTTGCTTCTGAGTTTTATGAAACAGTTGAATTAATCTGAAGTCTTAATAGTCCTTTTTTTTTGGAAACTGAATAACACTCTGCTTAATAGTCTCTCTTTTTTTTCTTTTTACATTTTAAGTGATATGGATATTATTATTAAATGCTTTAGTTTCTTCCTTTCTTTCATACCTGCTTTATTAAATATGGATGGTGGAACTATTAACCACAATCTACTGTTGAGTCTTTTATATTCACGCATCTGGTTTTGTCAATATCAGATTTATTTTTAAATGTATTTATCAAATGCTAATTCACATGGTCTTCTTCTCTCTTTTAGAGAAAGCATGGGATTATGGCAATCGCAGAGTTCCAGTAATGCAAGTTCCATTCAGTTTTTTCTGAAAGAAAGCCATCTATTTAAGTGAAGCAAAGAAACTATTGTGGATTATAATATTTTGAAGATCTGGATTTTCAGTGGTTTGAAAGTAAAGCGTCGTTCGTTTAACCTTTTAAATGAAAAAGATTAAGATCTCATGCAACTCTTACATTTTATGGAAGCTATTCTCCAAAAGGGAAGTACACATTTAAAACACAGATATGATGGTCCTTTCTGTAGGAATTTAAGCCTGATTACTTTTACATCATGACCAGCTTGAAACGGTCACAGACAGAAAGGCCTGTTGCTACCGAAAGGGCCTCTGTTGTGGGAACAGATGGCACTCCCAAAGTGCACTCTGATGACTTCTACATGCGACGCTTCAGGTCCCAGAATGGCAGTTTAGGATCCTCAGTCATGGCGCCTGTAGGGCCCCCTCGAAGTGAAGGCCCTCACCATATAACCTCAACCCCCGGAGTCCCAAAGATGGGGGTTAGGGCAAGGATTGCAGATTGGCCCCCAAGAAAGGAAAACGTGAAAGAATCTAGCCGTTCAAGCCAGGAAATAGAAACCTCAAGTTGCCTTGAGAGCATGTCCTCCAAAAGCAGTCCTGTGAGTCAGGGAAGTTCTGTTAGCCTCAATTCCAATGACTCAGCTATGTTAAAAAGCATACAGAACACGCTGAAAAACAAGACGAGACCGTCGGAGAACATGGACTCCAGATTTCTCATGCCTGAAGCCTATCCCAGCTCCCCTAGAAAAGCTCTTCGCAGAATACGGCAACGGAGCAACAGCGATATCACCATAAGTGAACTTGATGTGGATAGCTTTGATGAATGTATTTCACCCACATATAAGACTGGACCATCACTGCACAGGGAATATGGTAGCACATCTTCAATTGATAAGCAGGGAACATCTGGAGAAAGCTTTTTTGACTTGTTAAAGGGCTACAAAGATGACAAATCTGACCGAGGTCCAACCCCAACTAAGCTCAGTGACTTTCTCATTGCCGGTGGGGGCAAGGGGTCTGGTTTCTCCTTGGATGTTATAGATGGGCCCATCTCACAAAGGGAGAACCTCAGGCTCTTTAAGGAAAGGGAAAAACCACTCAAGCGACGTTCCAAGTCTGAAACTGGAGACTCATCCATTTTTCGTAAACTACGCAATGCCAAAGGTGAAGAACTTGGAAAGTCGTCGGATCTTGAAGATAACCGATCAGAAGACTCTGTCAGGCCTTGGACGTGCCCTAAGTGCTTTGCCCACTACGATGTCCAGAGTATATTATTTGACTTGAATGAGGCAATTATGAATAGGCACAATGTTATTAAGAGGAGAAACACCACCACAGGAGCTTCGGCCGCTGCTGTGGCATCCTTGGTCTCTGGACCTTTGTCCCATTCAGCCAGTTTTAGCTCCCCCATGGGCAGCACAGAAGACCTGAATTCCAAAGGAAGCCTCGGTATGGACCAGGGAGACGATAAAAGCAACGAACTTGTAATGAGCTGTCCATATTTTCGGAATGAGATTGGTGGAGAAGGTGAAAGGAAAATCAGCCTGTCAAAATCAAATTCTGGTTCTTTTAGTGGATGTGAAAGTGCCTCCTTTGAGTCTACCCTTAGCTCCCATTGCACAAACGCCGGAGTGGCAGTTCTTGAAGTGCCCAAGGAAAACTTGGTGATGCATCTAGATAGAGTGAAAAGATACATTGTGGAACACGTGGATCTTGGTGCATACTATTATAGGAAATTTTTCTATCAGAAGGGTGAGTGGAGAGCTTTTACTTTTAACTTTTATTTTGCTGTACTTAATGAAAAAAGTAGAGTCTGTATATTAAGTTTTTTAGCAGTGTGACCTAAGACTTGCATGAATTCTGTATCTTTCTTGATGATAAAATAGTTAAATAGCTCTTTGCTGCAATTTTTTTGCATTTTGGGGGTTAATTCCCCCTTTCAGGTATAAAAATGTCTTTTGTGTATTAAATATTATTGATTTTTTAAAAAACTTTGATTTAGTGGATGAAATTATAGTCACTGTTGTGTAGGAGACTTACTGTATACCATCTTTATGGATAAATGTCTTCATTTAATCATTTGAAAGTATAAAGCTGAAAATATTTTAAATATAGCTTTTTGTTAAGGATTACAAAAACAATTAGAATGCTATCTTTCATTTATTGTGTGCTTTTACAGTTAGTACAGGACAATTTCTTTTTCATCGCAAAGTTTTCATCAGTAAATGGAAATTATAACACATTCCTGTCCATTTCAAGGAGCTTTTGTGAAAATTAATTTTGTAACTTGACAAAAGTCACAGAGACAATGAGTTTCAGAACCAGAAGTCAAATCTAGGTCTTCTGGGGTTGAGTAAAAAAGGCCCTGAAGAGATAAGCGCTGTTAACATGTTGATGACTTTGTTTCTAGTCACTTCTTTTTTGTGGGGAAAATATATACATATATTGTTGAGATTATACTTTATATACAGTTTTATCTCATACTTTTAAGAAAGGCCCTTTTGATTTGTTTAAAAAGTAGCATAAATGTAATCTTAAGCACTTTCTAATAGTGTTTTTGAGGAGCATTATTTATTGAGGAATGAGTTTAGGTCATACAGGTACTCAAGCTAGAAAACAGGATGATTCCCGAGAAGGACATATACCTGCTGTCCCATTAGCCAGCTTAGTCATCTCTGCAGCCAGGTGAAGGTAGACCTGTGGTGAGAGGCTCCCTGTCTGCAAACTACTCAAGTGACGTTTTAATTTCCCACCTACTGTTTTCAGATTTTGGCTCTTATTTAGATATATTCTGAATAAAATTTAGTTTCATATCTAGCTCTCACTAGAGGAGCCCTGGTGGCACAGTGGTTAAAGTGTTTGGCTGCTAACAGAAAGGTCGGTGTTTGAAGCCACCAGCCACTCTGCAAGAGACAGATGTAGGAATCTGCTTCCATAAAGATTACAACCTTGGAAACCTTATGGGGCAGTTCTTCTCTGTTCTATAGGGTCAGTATGAGTCAGAATCAACTCGACGGCAGTGGTTTGGATTTTGGTTTTGGTTTAGGTGTATTCTGAATGAAATTTAGTTTCATATCTAGTACTTATTATAACTTTATAACATTGTTCACTTAAGATAAAATTTATCTTAAAGTATTAAATGATGAACCTCATCATGGAAATTTAATGACCAACAGAATCTTGTCTTATTCATAAATATCCATGTCTCATTCCTAAATATCGATGGCATGGGTCCTAGGATCAATTTAATAATAAAAATTCCAATTTCATTTTTTCAACAATCTTTATTTTCTCAGAATAATTTTCCAGAGTTCAGATTTTAGAAATCACTTTTTCTTACACTGTCCATTAGGATGTAGGGTTTCTCAGCCTTGGCGCTCTTGGCCTTTGGGGGCAGATAATTCTGTATTGAGAGGGGTTATCCTGTGCATTCTAGGATGTTTAGCAGCATCCCTTGCCTCTACCCATTAGATGCCGATAGCTCTCCCTCCCCCAGTTTTTTCAACCCAAAATGTCTCTAGACCTTGCCAAATGCCTTCTAGGTGGTAAAATTACTCTCTAGCAGAGAACCACTGCTTTACTTTACCTGGGGAAATTTTCTACAGGTATTTATTTCTGAGCTGTCTGTAGGTTGAGGCTATCTTGTTAAAAACTGACACTGACATTGAATCAAACGTAGGAGAGAACATATTAGTTATAACGTTATTTATGTAGTGGGGGTACTTTTTTCCTATTAGGCAATATAATCGTAGTAATAATAAATATTTTTGAGCACTTAATTAGGCACCAGACAGTAGGCTAAGCATTTGACATGACATGTATTTTCTCATATCAACTTCTCAGTGCCCAGTGAAGTAGATACTATTATTAATCTCATTTTTAAGATGAGAAAACTGGGGCCTAAGTAGTTAAGTGATACAGTTATAGATCTAGTAAGTGGGCAACCAGGATTTTCTGTCTTTGATCTGTCTGACTAGAGTCCTTGCTCTTAACCCCTGTGCTATGCTCTCTACTGTATTAGACTGAAGGGAAGGGGTGTATTTTAATGTTTAAATATGGTGGACATTTGTTTATCTTTCAAAAGTATGCAATAAAAATTTGAACACGTATATTCCAGAGTAATCCTGCTTAGATCATAAAACCTCATAAATTTAAAAGCCACTAATCCAAAGTAGTTCCTCATCTGAAGCATGGAAAAATCCTCTTACTCAGCGTGATTGGAACTAGTTAATTATGAATATATCGCTAAATTTAAGGAATCATTAAAAAAAAATTCTGAAGATTTTCATTTTCACTAAAACATTTAAAAATATACTTACTAAACTCTAGTGAGGCCAAGGGTATTTCTTCAACAGTGATTCCACCATTTTGAATTCTACATGGTATTAATAGCATAAATACAAGAGCAAAAGCATAGACATTAGCAAAGCAGTGTGAGTACAGATTCTTAGATTTCATGTATTTTTTCTCCTCATTTTAAGTTGTTTTGCCCACATCTAATCCAACAACTTTCTTTTTAGTGACACGTCTTTGTTCTTTTCAATGTCTTCAGCTTAGCTTTTTGTTTTTTTTTTTAATTGTACTTCAGGTGAAGGCTTACAGAGCAAATAGTTTCTCATGAAACAGTAGTACACATATTGTTTTATGACATTGGTTAACAACCCCACAACATGTCATCCCTCTAACTTCTCAACCTTTTATGTGAAAATACACATAGCCAAAGATACAACATTTCAAAAATTTCTGTATGCACAGTTCAGTGACATTGACTATGCTCTTCCAATTGTGCTGTTATTCTCACTTAAGATGAAGGCTTACAGAACAAAATAGTTTCTCATTTAACAGTTACTACAAATGTTGCCGTATGACAATGGTTAACAATCTCACAACACATCAACAATATCCTTACTCAACCTTGGGCAGCTTAGTTTTTATAGAAACAACATATCTTTAGTCTCATATTTCATCAGCTTTCATAATATTTAATTAAATTTTATTGTTACAGTAACAAGTCAACTGACATAAATAGGTTTGGGATGACACAGTTGACTCTTTGTCAGCATACAGTCCAGCTGGTGGGAGCAGAAAGTGTGTGTGTCACTAGAGATTGCCTGCTCTTCCAGACATCCAGTGTGCATTAGACATTCATCAGCATGGTTTTCAGAAGGAATGGAGAACAGTAGGTAATGCAGAAAGTTGATCCAGTGAAAGTCAGTTACAGAGTGCACTTCCTAGAATAGCTTATTTTGTGCCAAACAACGTAGAATTTTCAAATCAGGTAGGTCATTATTATAATATGATAATATACTACAAATTACAGCAGTGGATAACATCATTTGAAGCATAAGTTAAGCCCCCTAGAGTGTAACTATGTTAAAATATTTTATAAGTCTATACTTTTAAAAAAATCACAGTATAAAATATAATAATTCTTTTAATACAACTTTTAATGTACAGTTTTGCTTCACTGTTATGAATGCACTAGCTCATTTTCCTAACCAGAACCTTAAAGCAAGTCATCCTGTCGAAGGAACACATCATTGTCAGATATAATTCCTCCAGCAACACGGCATAGCAGTACTGACCTGGTTGTCAGCTCAGCCTCTTCCTTACCAGATATTTTCCTTTCTGTTTGTTTAATGCATTCCTGACTTCATGGTGACTCCATCACTGGAAAAGAATTCACTTTACTGAAGTTCACTGTACAGCCAACACAATATGTAAAATTTAATTGTTATTGGCTGATGAAGTCAAACTATTGAATATTACACTGTTTTTATAAACATCATCATTATTTTCCACCATTTAAACTAAGTTCGTTGGTGGAAAGATGCTGGAGCAATAGATTAACCCATTGTTTACACTTAGTGAAAAGAAGCAGAACACTATTAATCCTCTTCTTTCCAGCTCTTTCTCCTGCCCACTTCTCTCTGCCATTTTGTTAGCGTGTGATCTTATATTGAGACTCACCAGAATTAAATAACACTAATAATATAGCTGACATTTATTGTGCTGTTACTTAGTGCTTCGTGTAGACCTGCTCACTGAATGCTCAGAGAACCCCAAGGTGAACCCGTCATTGTATAGAAGTCCAAGTGATCCAACCACACCTCCTTAGAGAGCACAGACTAAGCAGTAGGGCAACAGTAAAGTTAATATGATCTTCTTGCTTTGAGTGTGAATATATTTTACATTTAGTTTTTATTTAGTCACAATGATGAAAGTACCAAGGTAACTTATAAGTGGAAAATACTAAGTTACAGGATAATTATGATGCTGCCTGTAGCTGATATGGCTTGTTAAGGAGGGGCCTTTTTCGTAGCCATTACTCGCCTTATTTTCTGTGGCCATACAGGACTTTCCAGTTTGCACTGAGTGCACTGCCTATGACGCACGTCCTCCCTGAATCCTTTCAGAGAGATGTGTTAATAGAAGCCAGAAGAGCCCATAGGTTACCTTAGCAGTGGCGTTTGTTGCTCCATTGATCAGCAGTGTTGGTAGGCTTATTTATATGCTAGGTGAGGTATCCCTCTCAAAGTCAAGCTCTTGAAGATGCTGTGATAGGGAAGGGCCTCCACCTACTGCTGAGTGACCAGGGGAAGCTGTCTTTTTCTGGTCTGGAGCTCATTGAAGAATAGTTTCCCACTTCTGAAAAAAGAAAAAAAAAAAAATGCTTATACACTTAATTATTCTTCTGAAAACTTTAAGTCACCCAATTTGACTGTTCTTACAATCCCTGTCCACCTTTTTCG